AGAGAGAGAGAGAGAGAGAGAGAGAGAGAGAGAGAGAGAGAGAGAGAGAGAGAGAGAAGGGCTGCAGCAAAGTTCAACTATTAACATTCTCAAAGTCTCGCGGACGTGCATGCTCGCGCGTAATATAGTGCCACTCGTTGCGATAAACAAACGGCTCGTCAATCGTCCCGGTAATATCGATCCTGAGCTTCGCAATCAAGAGCTCGCGTACAATACACAAGACCGACAATGTCGTCTTACGTCGAATTCGACTGACTCGTTGAATTATTCGAGCCATCAGCTATTATGTCACGGATATCAACGGACGTCATTGAAGACAGTCTCGCAAATATTTAGTCTCGCGGATGACTCAAGTTTCTAATCACTCAACAAAAATGTCTTATTCGTTCAGATAAAATTCAGAAATTAAATTCACTGTCAAACTTTATTGCTGTTTTTTTTTTTTATATCTACTAAAAAATTGTGGTACGTTAAATTTACAGCAGCAGCATCCTGGCAACATCTGCAAGCAAATTTAGGTGGCTGTGAGGATTATACATTCGTTTGCCTCTGATCTTTTTTGTCTACTACAGTCAGTTTTTATAACAAGTGGCTTTAATTGACTTTCTTGTTAAATTACCCAAATAGTTCAAATAGAAATTCTGCCCATGTCATTGACTAAATACTAAACATATGCGATATCGCAGTGTTTGCCAGTCGTTTATCCATCTTAGCTAATTTCTCCACGGAAAAAAAACACTCAACTGTAGTAGCAGCAGCAAGAATCTGTACGTGGCAGCTAAGTCTCATTGTATCGTACGGATACCTAAAAGTACAGCAGCCAGCAGGCATGTATTTAGTCATGAAACCGATGTAGTAGCAACAGTAGGAAAAATTACAAATTGGCGAGAAATTTTCAATCGCGACAACAAATATATTTTCAGCAAACTATAATGATTAGCTGCGACAGAGAAATTTTTTTTGTTTTCGCTATGGCTGCAAGAGCAGTTATAATTGCGTCAATTAATCGAGTTTAACCAAGTTTCACCAATCTAGCCTTCGACTACAAACTACCTGCGACTACTTGCCAAATTGATAATATGATTATTATCATGATTAAATAGTATCGCCAAATTTGAAAAACTTGGCGTTTAATTGTATGAGAATTTTAACGTAACCCATTGGCTTTGCCAATGCAAATCCGTGTAATAATAATAATAATTTCGACATTAATCAGCTCGAAAGGTCGGTAAAGAGGAAATGTTGAGAAAATTGAAGAGACTTTGCTCCGATATGCGACGACAGATAAGAACCGGTCTCTCTTTCTCTGGATCTTTTGGGTATACGTAGAGAATATCCGATACGCTACATGGGATATGTAGTACTGGCGCCAGAGTATCCACGAAATCTGAAACCGCGACTGCTCTATACAATGAGTCCTCAGCTAGTAATGGAGCGGCGGGATCGCCGTCAGAGAAAGTGAAAGGAAAAGGTGGAGGAGAATTTTCTCTCTTGAAAACACTCAAGTGCAAGCGAGGGATCATCAGAGATTATATCACTGAATTTGTCATTTTACCATTTTATTATTTTAAACTCTTTTATATTTTAACGAATATGTTCCATTCGTATCGTAAAATTTCATGTGTCCGCGAGAAGACAAGTCGAGAGAAAACAATTTCTCGCGATTAATCTTATGGAAAATTTATAAGGAATTAACAATCATTAATGGTCGTTATGATACATCGTTTATTGTTGGTGACACTTTATACACTTTATTTTTTTAACGATAGATACTTTATACAAAACTTTACAAAGATTCTTACTGCTCTCTAATTAACGCGACGCCTCGAAATCACGCGTTTTAAATATAACTCAATGTTGTCGTTTGGTTTACAAAAAGTTTCGTCGATAAAATAATATTCTTTGGCTCTCATTGTAAGAATATATCGGCCGAAGGAAATTCTATGTACATGCACAATGATTATGAACGCGTATTATATACAAACGATCTTTTCCTCCTTACATTGAATAGTCACACATTTCACGATAGGCCGTGATTTCTAAATGTCTTCGAGTTTTTCCCAAAATTTTGAAGATATTACAAATGTAGGGATAATTTTATAAATGGCTCCTTATTGTTTCTCGGCTTAATTTCGTTTTATTTCATCTGGTAATTTTCAAGAGACGTCTCTAAACGAGGAAGGCAAATCACGGCTGACATCTTTCCGACGTCAGTCGCAAAAAAAAAAGTAAATATAAACGTTCACTTATATGGGCGATTTGATTTTGTGAAATGTCGCGGATATGTTTTGACAGAAGTGACTCCCATATATTTTATTGCATTTGGCTGGTCGGTGATTCTTGTTTCAATTCGAGAGCCCACATGTGCTGCGGCCATCCCGTTCGTCCTTTACTCTTCGTTGATTCTTCGTGACCAAGATTCGAGGCGGATTGCAAACACGACTCATTCTACGGGAGAACAGAGATACGAAATAACAAATGTCACACCGCGATAAATTCATCTTGCCGTTGTGACAAAAGACTTATGACAAAAGGCCGGATGAATTATAGAAGTGAAAATAGAAATTATTGTCGGACAATAAATTGACCTCAAAAATGACGGACGTGAATTTTGGTCGTGAGTGAAAATTACAGTGGAAAGGAGGTCTCGAGGGAGATAAAGTCTACGTGGGCGGTAAATGATTGCGGAAAATAAAGAAAGCCACAAAATGCTGGGCCGAAATGGAATTCGATTATTTCGGAATGTCGGAATTGGGCAGAGAAAACCAATGGATATCATCATCGAATTTCTTTTGTTCGCCTTTAATAGCGCTTCCTACTAAATCCTCCGAGAGCGATGATCCCTCGGTGGAAACTTAAAACACGTCTCTCTAATCAAGATCGATTCGGTCAATTCTTCGATATTCTTCGATATCTCCTTTCTCTTTGCCTTTTTTCTCCAAATAAGATTTGCTCTTAACAAAAGAAAGAAACGGGCTATGCCTTATTTATATTTATATTTGTGAGTGACGTAACATGAACTTCTTCTCAGGCGGGCATAAATTCCTCTCATGACTCTCCTACTATAAGTCTTACTATATACTCGTCGAGTTTTTCTTCTTTTTCTTTTAACGCAATAATGACCGCGTGAGAATGCAACGCGATGCGCTTTTCAACGAATCTCAAGGCAAGTTGATAGCTTTAAGATCGAGTTCTCAAGCCAACACAAGGGTAGGCCAATCAAAGAGGCGAATGTTTACGTCAGAGCGACGACACTTACAAAAGCGCATTCTGAAAGATTTAGTCTATGGGAGTGAAATTATTAATCCTGAAGAACTTTTGTTAAGCGGTAGCGGGCACAATCCCACGTAGCTCTTATGTCAAAGCTATTTGTAATCTCGGGAGTTTTACGCGCAAGACAGAGAGAGAAGATAATAAGTAATTTACCTGATTTGGTTGAGCCGCTTTGTTCCTCCTGCCGTTCGAAAGGATCTCCGCGCGAAAGGTCTGTGGCTCCTCTCCCTCGTCGCTCTCCAGAACGGCCATCAGATATCCGATGTAGGACGCTGCCAGTCTTAGGGTTTTGATCTTTGATAGCTTAGTATCCGCTGGCACATTCGGTATACAATCTCTCAAGTCGGCAAAGGCGTTGTTTATACTCTGCGTGCGTCTCCTCTCTTTCTTATTGGCGGTATTTCTCCTCTTTGGCCTGATCACGACCTGGCCACCCTCGCGTACACCTTGATGAAGATGTTGCTGAAGAGAAGCGACGACCCCACCAACGACCTGCTGCTGCTGGACGGTCTGCGCGCTCGCGTATTCGTGCTCGCGTCTGTGACTAGTCTGGTGATGATGGTGATGATGGTGATGAAGATGATGATGATGATGGGGCGACGTTTCTTGCTGCTGAGAATACTGTAGGGTAGCATAGTGCTGACTAGTCGATGGGTGCGCGTATTGCTGCAGGGGTGAATAATTTGGCTCCTGTATACCAATCTCCTCGATCAAGGGTGGCGTCGAAGCGGTAGGACTACCTGCTCCAGAGCTATCCCCTGAGATACCGGAATCGGCGCCCCAGTACGTCGATTGACTGTCAGCGTCGGGAACGCCGAGAGATCCTGCGGCAGAAATGATGTGTTAGTACGATTGCACATGCATGCAATCGTGGAGATGATTCTCGAATCGTCGCGTGCAACTCGCGACAGTCCAATTATAGATTTTAATGGAAATTTATTCTCGATCCTCCTCTTCTCTCCCCCGAATTATACCACGTCGTCTTTCCGCAATTGTGGAAGTTCGAGAAGACATTCGTTTGTCGTACTCTCTATATTTTTGTGTTTATCAGATTGTCGTAGTTGCCGTATCGCAATAAATTGTCGTCTACGTTCTAGCTGCATTCCGATATCACCCCGCCAAACGTACGTTTGTTTCTCTCTTTTGTTGACGCGCTGCAAAATAAGTAAGAAGCAGTCTTTCACCAGCAATTGAAAGACTGCCATTTGCATAGGGATTTATTAAAATGCGACATACAACGCGCGCGCGCGCGGTAAAGGAGATCAGCGATGGAGTATCAAAGCATTCATTTACATAAATTGTCACATCGAGTGCAAAACATGCATTGCCCGCGTTGAAAATATTTTTATACATGTATATAACATATTTTAAAAAATTATACATGTATAATATGTATATATATGTATATATATGTGTATATATATATATATATATATATATATATATATATATATATATATATATATATATATATATA